AATTTATTTATATAAAAAAACAAAACACGCAAAAAGCAACTCAAATAAAAAACAAACCTCACTAGTACTGCAAAATATAGCTACATTTCCCACAAGCTCCAAACTCCAAAGAGTACATCTGATTTATCACTATCATTCCATCAGTGTATTTCCATTCACTAGCATAGCAGGTCTTGATATTGCCTACAAAGGCAACTCCCTCTCACCAATAACCATTTTAAATAGTTACCCTGCAAGGTATGTATGGACACACGCAAAGAACAAGCAGTGTTCCCCAGGGCTTGGTTCTGGAGCGGGTCTTGTTCAATATCTTTATAGATGATCTGGATGAGGGAATTGAGTGCTCCCTCAGTAAGTTTGCAGATGACACCAAGTTGGGTGGGAGTGTTGATCTGCTGCAGGGTAGGAGGGCTCTGCAGAGGGATCTGGACAGGCTGGATCGATGGGCAGAGGCCAACTGTATGAGGTTTAATAAGGCCAAGTCCAGGGTCCTGCACTTGGGTCACAACAACCCCATGCAACGCTACAGGCTTGGGGAGGAGTGGCTGGAGAGCTGCCTGTCGGAAAAGGACCTGGGGGTGCTGGTTGACAGCCGGCTGAACATGAGCCAGCAGTGTGCCCAGGTGGCCAAGAAGGCCTGCATCAGGAATAGTGTGGCCAGCAGAAAGAGGGAAGTGATTGTGCCCCTGCACTCGGCACCGGTGAGGCCGCACCTTGAATCCTGTGTTCAGTTTTGGGCCCCTCACTCCAAGAAGGATGTTGAGGTGCTTGAGCGTGTCCAGAGAAGGGCAATGAAGCTGGTGAGGGGTCTGGAGCACAAGTCTTATGAGGAGCGGCTGAGGGAACTGGGGTTGTTTAGTCTGGAGAAGAGGAGGCTGAGAGGAGACCTTATCGCTCTCTACAACTACCTGAAAGGGGGTTGTGGCGACAAGGGTATTGGTCTCTTCTCCCAAGTAACTAGTGATAGGACAAGAGGAAATGGCCTCAAGTTGCACCAGGGGAGATTTAGATTGGGTATTAGGAAAAATTTCTTCACCGAGAGAGTGGTCAGGCATTGGAACAGGCTGCCCAGGGAGGTGGTGGAGTCGCCATCTCTGGAAGTGTTCAAAAAACGTGTGGACGTGGCGCTTCAGGACATGGTTTAGGGGACATGGTGGCGCTGGATTAACGGTTGGACTTCATGACCTTGAAGGTCCTTTCCAACCTAGTGATTCTGTGAACAAGTCGTTCTGTGCTACTTCTCACCATGCACCCGACTGCTATAGCTTCATCTTACCTATTTTCTCTAGAGGTTGGAACATCTCCTTCTATACCAGACACATGTTGCTCTCTCACAATTTACTTTCTGAAACGTTTACCTTCGTTATTAAACATTCCTAATTACACTCATGACACACGAGTTAATGTAATGTGATAGGGAATCCTGTCAGACACGGCAGTTAAATACCCTTTTAAAAATACAAAACAAAGTCACTGTAGTAAAATTCATGTAAATAGAAATCTCTAATCGATGCTTTACTGAAAACGAAAAAATGCGTCCATTGTGTTGATGATAAGACATACTAGTTTGAGTTCAAAATATATGATCACAAGTAAGCATGAACAAATATACTTGCAAGACAGTGCTTTTTTTTCAAAAGCCTGTCCATTCTTATGTGAAAAAAGTAACGTAATTGCAACCCTGAATTATGGTATACTGAAGCTCAGAGTAAAGCATAGGTTTAACTTACTTTTTCTGGATACTGGTGTGGTCCGTAAACATTACTGGTCCGTGTGATAACAGCTGGGAACTTAAGCATGAAACATGCATGTGATTACATAAAAAAATATATACCAGTAAAAATCTGTAGGCTTCTTGCTGATCAATAAACTGACACACCCACAGTGCTTATTCAAAAATCTGCAAGCCCTTACAAACATTAATGAATATAGCTATCCATACTCCTATCAAATAGGCAAGGGCTTCCAGCCTTCTCACTCTGTTGGAAGCACCACAAGTGACAAATGTTTGTAATCTCTGAGTCTTGCTATGGAACCACCACAGGACATTATATACATCTGGTTGACTGAAGACCGGCTTACTACTACTTATTCCAAGAAAATGTCTCAGAGTCATTAACTGTTGGGATCACCCTGCAAGGGCTCAACCTTAAGGAGATGGAGCTGTGGCATTGAGAAGCTGGTAAACAGCTGGACGCCTGCAGGGCTTGGCCTTGAGGAGAAGGAGCTGTGGTAAACAACTAAGAGGAAGTAAAGGAACGCGTGGACACCTGCAGGCAGCAAATCCTGACTGTGAGAGAAGCACGTGGACTGTGTGTGGTAACCAACCAGGACGTATTTTGTGGCGCATGAAAGAGCTGTAACTGCATAAAAAGCAGCCACTTGTAGCAATAAAGGTCTTTGGCCTGAATCCCCGCCAGAGTCCGTGCCCTACCACTCTACAATTAACATCTTATTCAAGCCAACTTCAGTGAAAAACAACTTAGCAGAAGGACTTGTCAAGAACAAAAGACGAAAGTATTCCAAATTTTAAGTATTTTCACTCAAATATGAGTAATGGAGGGGTGTTCTTTCTTTTTGTTTTTGCTTTCATTATAAGCCTAGTCTCAATACAATTTGAATTTTGCATATTCTACTTCTCTATAGATGGATTTCCTCCAAGCTTAACACTGGGGTTTTTTTAAATTGCAGACGTTCTCTTTTACCATTTTATCAAAGAACATTTTTAGACATTACAGTTCATATTTCAGAAGAAAATTAAAACCATTTGACCTCTCCCCACAGTCTTACAGTGTATCTCCACCAGTAAGTGGTGGACATCCGCCAAACTCAAACTACAAAACCAATCAGAAAAGAGGTGGTATTGTATGGACTAGTACTGATTTTTCTCTTATAAACATAATACAGACACTTAAGTATGATGTGCAAGCTTCAAAAATTCTCAAGCCCAACTTACGTGGTATTTTTCCCAGTAAAACTGGACAAAACACTCTGCAGCTGCTTTAGAGGAGGCATAGGGATTTGTTGGACATTTTGGTGAGGATTCATCAAACTCCTAAAATGAGAAGAGAAATTTGCATTACTCAATTTCTTTTGCCCAGATAAGTCTTAAAGTTACAAAAGTGCAGTTGCAACCAAAACAAAAATCTCTAAATATCCAAGCCCACCAGTCTGAGAAAGTCACCTCCCCCCTGCCACTTACAGCAGAAGACCAATACAAAAGACAGTCTATTTATCAAACACAGGAGGTGGCCAGAATACCAGCAGTAATATTTTTATACTTCTAGCAGAATACCTCACAGTAGCAGGTCCTTACTTTTTTGTCTTGTAAAATAATCACTGTTGCCACAGTGAGGTTCAACCCTGTTCAGGCTGATATTGCCTCAGAGTGCCATTGCACGACAACTAGCAAACTGACCTTTCATTCCTAAATAAAAGGAATCCATTCTCCCTTTTCTATAAACTGTATTTCTATAAGGAAAGTAGAATTTCAATCCAAAGCCCTCCAAAGCAAGGCTTCAACAATTCTGACCCGTTCCCGAACAGCTAGCTTCATGGCTTCCCTGCCACTTCTACCTACTTCTCGCCTTGGGCTGGGGAATACATATTGAACAATATTGAACCAAAGAACGGAGAGATTCTACACTGCCTGAGGTGCAATTCATAATAATCAGCTTAAGATGCGAGTAAAAGACTCACTGTTCTTGTCTGACCTTTGCCTCCGACATTAAATTGACCCTGATTTACTTTTTGACCTCCCCCCCTCCCCCCGAAAAACTCTCTTCAAGAACTTCTACTATGATGCATAAAGAGAACAAAAAACAGATTAAATGAAAGTGCTCTTTTCAAGGCCCAGAGGCAGAAAAAGTTCACTTGAAGTTGTCTCAGCCAAACCACTGGTCTACATGCAGGAAAACAACATCCTTGGGTATCATAAAAGTCTACAGACTGAAGTGGTGTTGAAGGAACTGACAAAGACATTGCAACAATAAGAAAGGGCACGTGACTTCTCTGAAAAACATTAATATTTTCATGGATTATGACACAAGACTCCTTGGCCGTTATTCATACCTTTAGAAAGAAAAGCATGCGGAATTTGTGATTTAGCTCCATAAAAAGACATTTCCTGAATTAAGGTCAGGCATAAATTGTCAAGGAACAAAAAGATTTCCATAGAAGAACGAGAAATATCTACATTTTTATTCCAGTAATACAGGAACCATTTCCTGTTCAAATTGGCAGTACCTACAGTTCTGTTAGTATTTTAGCTAGAGTATAAAAAAGTTCCCTGCCTGTCAAGTTCATAGTCAAGGCAGAGCAGGAAAAAATTTGGGAAGGAAAAATAAAACAAACAAAAAAAAGAACATACTGTGCACATTACTGAAGTCTCATGAATGCTCCAAGGAAAAATTTGTATAATACATTCCTTTGATACTATCTCTGAGAAGTATTCACATGTCATTAATGACCCCAATCTCAATGCTTTAGGTAATACACATTCAATATAAAACATGCTACAAAAAAAAATTCATGACAATTTTGGTACTTAGCTTTCTAGAAACAACCAGTGGTTGCTTACAAGTTCCTGTATTGTCAGAAATAGCTCGAGAGTCATACATTTACAGAGGCCAAAGGAAGTTAGATTGACTTTGTTTTCACTGTTAAAAGCAAGTAAAGCTAGAAAAATCTTCATGTACTTTCAAACTCACCTCATCAGTGCTTCCTCCATATACTTCATCTGTGCTGACATAGACAAACTTCTCCACGTTGGCTTCATGCGCAGCAGCAACCAGTACATTAGTGCCATAAACATTCACATAGCTGAACTCCAGGGCATGCCGAAATGAAAGATCTACATTAAAAATCCAGACAACTCTGATGAAATTTCAGAAAGATGTGGCTTCCTATTGAACAATAATATTAGAGGCTGCAATATAGACTGGGACTTTAGCACTAGTTCTTTGATTGTCAGATAACAAAGTCATTATTAAATGAAGATACTTTCTACACTTACTTGAAGACAAAATCCTTGCTGTCAACAAGTGGCTGGAATTAGGAGTGAAAACTTGTTGGCTACGAATGGTTCCATTTGAAATAGCATTATCTAACTTTATTTTAAGTGGCAGCATGGCTACATCCCCTTCTCCACTAGGAAGGGCCAAGCTCAGTAAGAAAGTATCACTCAAAGACAGTTGTAAGATGCAGTAAGATATACCTATTACTGTTAATTAACTATCAACTGTTTTAATTCTTAGAATCTTCCCACAGGCCTAATGACTTTGGGCATATTCAAATCTGTCAATTTTGGGAAGTATTTTCCTGGAAAATTCTTCAAGGATTTCTTCTCATGATGAAAGGAGTATGGCAGGGATAGTTCTCATTAATGATATTACTGAAGAGTAGTAGTCTGAAATAGGCACTTTTAAGTGTAAGTCATTCTCTTGCTTTTTTAGAATCCAAGCAAGAGTCTGAGGGGAGCTATGCCTAATTTTTTAGCTTCCACACTGTGTTTTTTTCCTGTAAGGTTGGAGCCAGTCAAGTAAACACTTAAGACTATGTGCAAACCCTTTTTCCATTGTCTTCAGGACTCCACCAGTACACTGTCAGTTACTGTCAGTACACTGTCATGTGTGTCGAGATGGAATTTAAAAATGGAATGCAAAAAAAGAAAGGGCATTACCATTTATGCACAATCAAAACAGACAACAGTCAGATGAAGCACTTTTTTAATTAAGGCTGTGAACCCCTTTAAGTTAAAAAGGCCACCAGACCTTGAATCATGTAGTTTGTAGAGACAAACTATCCTTCTTTTATATGAAGGGAAAAGACCGAAAAAAAAAAAAATCAGTATATATTTCAAACAAATATGGAAAATGGAAAATAATACCAAAACATGAAACAATGCTCACCTACATGTGTTTGGGCTGCAAAATGAAGGACTATATCTATTTTCTCAGTCTGGAAGAGCTGTTTTATAAAATCAGGTTCACAAATATCTCCCTAAGCGGGGGGGGGGGGAAAAATCATTAACAAGTTATTTTTGATAGAAAATAGTAAGCTTTCATTTGTACTAAGTGTCACATAACGAACCATTGCAAAGGCAGCACAGGATACAAATAGCACTACCGACTGAGTTTTCAGCAATTTATCAATGCTGTGTCTAAAATAAGACCAGATATACAAATTTCAAACATTTTGAGCAACAGCCTCAACAAAGCTTATTTCAGGATTTATATTACTATTTAACATTAGAAACATCATCATCCCCAAAATACACACAACAGAAGTATAGTATGTAGCTTGAACACTGAGGTTGAAATGGCAAGTTCCCAGAGCAAGTTAAGTTACTGGAGTCTGGCTAATAGACAGTGACACCTAGTGGCATTATAAAAGGTGACATGAATTTCCACTTCTGTCAAAACAGTGAGATGTCTTGCAAGAATTTTAGGTTTTGTTGTTTGTTCTGGTAATTCTCTTTTTTTCCCCCTAAATATATCAACTTAAGACAAAAAAAAAAGTCAGGCATCGACACACGAGCCATTCATTAGTTTGACACAGAAGCAACAGCAGCTTTTAAAGGTAAATACAAGCTGAGAAAAAGCTTTCGATATTTATCTGTTGGCTCAACTTAAACAAGACAGTACCTGAGAAGAAGAGGTGTCTTGGGGACTTTTGTATTTTTAGTGACAACGCAATTAACTAAAAATAGTTCAAATGCACCTATGTTTTAAGAAGTTCTCAAGAAACAATTCTTAACAACAGCTTCAAAGTATTGTATGTCAGAAATGGAAGATTAACTGATTTTCCTATTTCTCATCCCCGAACAGATCTGTAACACTCCAGTAAATAGTTCAGGCTCATACATTATTTTGAACTAAATAGTTACAATTACTAATTTTTTTTTTAACTGAAATTGAAACTCGATACACTTCGTGCTAAGCAACAACAGAAATTGTGACAAAACTATCTTTCATACAGCCCCTTATGCAAACTTTCAGAACTTTTTCTTCTTTACCTTTCAAACAAGCTTCTTTTCTACAGCACCACTACAGCATTTATCCTTCCCGTTCTTTCCCAAGGCTAGTAATAGTGTTATAGGTCTAATCATGGGGCTTGTCCATCAGAGATTGTATTTTCCAGCACATTTTTTCGTATCAGTGTAAACTGCTTGGCTGCATGTAAAGTTCTGATCAGCCTTCTTTCCCCAAAAACAAACAAAAAAACCACACAACCAAACAGAAAAATTGGAATGAATTATACTGTTTTAAGTTCTGTGAGGATATATTCCTACTCTAGTTCAGACGCAGTATAGCTACACCATTCCTTGTTACTATTTACCTGCCTCACATAGGGATCTGGCTGTTTACAGAATGCATCCTAGAATTCTGTGCTATCCCCAGCAATTAAAGGTTAATATATATCCAAGTAACGAGGCTTTTTTTCTAAAGCATTCATACATTTCATCTCACATGCTGGAAACTGTTAAAAACATTAGGAAAAATAACCAAAAATCCAGTTTCGGCATGTTGAAACTGCCTACATTTGCTTAGCAGACATCCCTTTTCCCCTCATGCAACTCCTACCCCAACAGCTCGGAGATAATCCCTTAATGAAAGGTAGGTTCACAGAAATGCAAACAGCCATAGGGGTCACCAAACAGGTGAGGACAAGTTCAGATTCAAGCAAGGCTGGGAACTAACAGATATATTTAACTCACATCTACTACCTCTGACAAAGTTGCCCGGAAGTTGCTCTTTCAGAAAATTAAACTGCATTTCTCCTGCAACCTCGGGCAGCTCAGCTAGACAGAGACCAGCATCAGTACTGACTTTCACAGAGGGGCAGAACCTCAGCATACAAATCCAGCAATCAGAATGTTTATCTGAACAATAAATCTGAATCCATCTCCTGTCTGAAGACAAAACTGGGTAAACAGTAAACTAATTTACATGACAAAATTTTAAGAAAGCATACCTTGAATGTTCCCATGAGACCCTGTTCCAAAACAACTATCAACAGCAGGAAAAGCAAGGATGTAGCCTCATGTTTAGTGCTAACAGAACAAGAAAGAGCGTGTTGCACACTATGGAATCTGACAAGTGGCAGTCCTTCAAGGTGCAAAATCTAAGATAGTGTCAGAGAAGCATGGAGGAACTGAATCTGAGTCCATCTCGTCCATACCACCTATCAAAAGTGAAACAATCACCCCTAAAACCAGTCATCTCCATAATCAGGCTTCTTCCAATTCTGTACCTTTATTATAAAATAAAATATCTCAACTTTCAAAAGACTACTTCATGAAAGGGACAGAACATACTGCATATTGTCACAGACTTCTGCAGGTGAAATATGAAGTCTATTAACAAAGGTAAACAGATGAAGTAAATGCCGTTATGTTCATGTGATCATCACATACATTGGCATATTATGTACAGTGGCTCAATCTTGGGGGGGGGAAGAAATCAGTAAGAAGTCAAGTTTCTTAGAAGAGAAGGCTTTATCACCTGGATAAACTTGTAGTTTTCCTTCTCAGAGACAGTTTCAAGATTCTTCAAGCTTGCACAGTAGTCGAGCTAAAGAGAAATACCAACACAATACCAGTAAGTGGGCTTTGTGAAAGTAAATAAGCTAACTCAGTGCCAACCTAATTACTAAAAAGTTTGAGAACAAAGTAAAAACTTCTTTCAAAAGAAAAGCTAATTTGCAAGGAGACACAATGAAATTTTAAAAAACACAAAACTCTGAAAGAAATTCTGCAGTTAGAATATCTTAAACAGCAGTTTAGAACTTCAAAAGCTTCCTTTTTTTTTTTTTTCAAATAATTATTTGCAGTGGGCACAAGACTTTCAATATGAACAGCAGTTGATTTTTTTTTTTTTTCATAGGAACAAACAGATAGTCAAACAAAAATAAAGAACAATAATCCATACAAATTTCAACACGTTCTAGACTGCATTAAAAATCATTTAAAACAGTTCTCCATATCAGGAAAGAAAACAAGCTACTTACCTTATCTAGATTTATAATCAGATAGTTTGGATAGTTTTTCACAAGAGAGACAACTACATGTGAGGCACTGTAGGATGGAAGAAAACATATTTTACAATTATATAGTTAGCTTTAAGGTAACAGAGACAACAAACCACAAATAAGTTTAGCAACATCAAAAGGCTTTGCAGGTAGAGAGGGCTGTACTCAAGACAGGAGAAAGAGGAATTCACAGATACATCTTAAGACATGTCAACATTATTCTACTGATAATGCCAATAACTGCATACTATCAAGAAATTAAAAATCAGAGTAAAAGTTTATGCTATAACAAAAAAAGCAGCACTGCTCACAGCCACCTGAAAAAAAAAAAAAACCACAAACAAGCCAAACTGTTACATGCTACATTCAACCACCATTCTAAAATACTTTTATACTCTTAGGTATCTAGGGAGAACTAAACAGCCAACTCACAATACTGACTCGCAACACTGAACTCTCCCGACACTGCTGCTAGGTGTGAGAAAAAACAACAGCTTGACTGCCAGGTGGCATTTCCCTTTGGTACAGTCTTGCGTACAAGAAACTCACCTTGAGAGTTCAGATTTAGCAGGGCTTATTCACACCACCAAACCCCCTAAGCTGGGGGTGCACACAGAAATGTGGTCCTATCACAGTTTCGGACTCCGAGCACGCTGATGGGCTCAAGCTCAAGACAGATCTGCACTTGCTCTGTCCCGAGTAGAGCCCACAGCACTGGGGAGCGGAGGTGGGAAAGAGCCGCTGGCTCAAGCACAGCCACCCCCTGACCCTACCCCGGTTGAGGCACAGCACCGGCTCCCACCATCAGTGCCGGGAGGTCCCTTCAGCGAGCACCTTCCCGTTGGCCGCGGGCGAAGGACAGCCGGGCAGAAGCCCGGCTCGCTCCCCAACACTTACCGCC